ATATATAATAGAATTTAAAAAAAATCTAATTAACTCCAAGGCTACAAAGATTTATAATCAATTAAAATATTGATTAAGAAAATAGAATAAAAATTATTAAATTAGATTCAAATGATGTTTTAATATAAATAATAATTTTTAAATCTTGCTCAAACTCTTATTGTCTTATGTCTTATGGCTACATGATTAGGGTTGTTAAAAGGACTCTTTGTTCGTGAACAGCTCGTGTTTGACTCATTAAGCAAACAAGTCGAACACGAACACACTTTTTGAGCTCGAAATATAAACGAGCCGAACACGAGCTGCATGCTCAGCTGCATGTTACACCCCTACTTACTATATGGCAAAGATGATATTTTAATTGGACTTGAAACATAAATAGAAAAATTGCTCAAACACAATATTTTCAATTTTAATAAGTGAAAATTTGTCGAAACTAATACTACTAAAATTAGTAAATAAATCAGTCATAAAATCAACTATAAAAATCTAAGAAAAAATATTTAACACAAATAAATATGCAAATCTTAATTGATCTCAAAATCATATCACAAAAAAATAATTATAAATTACATGAGCAGTTATTAAAATAAAAGTCATGGTTGAACTTTACTATATCAATTTTATAATTTGACATGTTATAATAACATTTTTCAGTCTTTCCCAATCAATATTATAGTCTACTATGTTATAATTGTTATGATTGCACTATGATAGATTAACCTTATAATTTATTTAGTTATAATTAGTTTGTTTTTATCATGTGATATAAACCATGTATTTTGGGGTGTTCTAGCCATTATTATTAGAATCATGTTTTAGTCTTGGTTGAATCATGTTCTAGTCTTGTTAGAATGTAATTTAAGCCAACTGGAAGATGTTCGTATTATGCCTGTCAAATAAGCTAGAAGAACACTTAAGTTATGTCAGAGTAATGTCAAATCATACTCTAAAAAATATTTTATTTTATTTTTTGAAGTTTGTTTAAAATTAGAAAGTTGTATAAATCATATTTGTATCACTTTTGTTTTTCCTTGAATTCGAAAAGTAATCAATAGTGTAATTTCATTTTAAAAGATTATTTAGATATATACAATTAAGAGAAAATAAATAGTGAATATATTTTATTAATTACATATAATAAGAGACAAATTCAAAAGTTCTTTCATAGATTTTTGTTGGAAAAATATTATATCGCACGTAGAGTTACGTGCGGAGTCTACGTGCGGAGTCCAATGAAATTACAGTGTAGAGGTGATCGGCCAGAGAATATTTTCCTCGTGTTATTCTTTGTTATTAAGGTAGTATTGTGTTCTGAGAATATTTTCGGTGTTATAAGTCCGGACGCAATTTTTATTTATTTTTTTTTCGTTGAGAATTTTTAAGGCATTCGGGCCTCCAGTCACAATCGGGTCGGGCCACGCAGAGAATTTGAGCGCTGCTCTCTTCACTGTATTTTCCCTCCAAGAAGATCCACTTCAGTAGTTCAAGGAGCAAACCCTAAAAGTGGTACTTTGGTTATCTTCCTCCGTGCCGTGATCCATGACGCCCAAGGATAAGGATCAGCGGAGCGCTGGTGAATTGGAGGAGGACAATTGCACCAAGAGGAAGAGATCGAGGCGAGTCAGCTTCGCAGAGACTACCGTCCACGTCTTTAAACGCGACGAGGAGTCCGATAGCCCGGCGAACTCAACACCGGTTCTCAGCGAGGGCTGCAGGGTTTCGGATAACGAGGAATCAGTAGGTTTTGGTGGGATTCAATCTCAGGGTGATGATTCCGTGGAGTCCGCCCCTGAGGATGAAAGTGATGACGCGGTGCGGTTAAGGTTCGTAAGGGATATCGATTTATCTTCTCCTGGAATCACTGTCGGTTCTGTCACGTCTAATGAAGGTACCACATTTTCAAATCATTCATCATTCTGTTAAAATGTTTTACCGTTTCTGTTTGTAAATACTCGACATGTAATTTTAGGAGATAAACTTGCGCTCATTACAAAGTTAGGGGCTGTTTGGTAGAGAGTTTTAATAGGATTTATCATTAGATTTATTAAATCCAGCCAAACGGCCAAACGGCAGAATAGGGGAGTTCCATGGATTTTCGGATTTAGTAAATCCTCTGGCAGCTCTGCCGATCAGTTCTAGGCCTCCGACCTTTAGAGCAGGATGTCAGTGTCCTCGAGGAGGGAGACATTCCT